ATATATAAATGAATATAAAGTTGTCAGTTCAGGCAACGTATAGTGCTCGATGCTATGCAGAGCGGTATAATAATAATAGTAATAATAATAATATACTGTTCTCCAACAACTCAACATGGATCAAGAAAAATTCAGACGATATGTTCGACGTCACCATGGGGAGTTTTGTTTGATATATGTGAGATATGATATTTGAGATATGTGAACTCGTTGGAGCTTACATCCTTTCCCACCTCGCCAAAAAGCTCGGGAAAAAAAATTCGATTTCTAGATGGCAGGAAATGAGCTTTCTCAACTTCTCTTTCTCAACTCACGAGAAGTAATACAAGCATGTACACAAATTCCCCCCATTTTATGTGGATGCAGTTGCTTTTCAGCTATTTGGTTAATTCTATATCTGTCAGATTTCCACACAACTCATTATGGTTTAACAGTGTCTATCAGGATTCTTCAAATCAATGACCAACTATGATAGCTCATAAAGCTTGGATGAGTTCTGCGGATGAACCGATATTTTACTGCAGATTCGGACCAATGTTGGGCAGGAGAATTCACACAGATCATCATTGGAATCTATAAATTTGCAATATAACAATGTTAGATTCCTCCATTAGTGGCAGGTGACAGATTTACTACTAGAATTAGAGGAAGATTCTGATGGTGGAATGGGCTATGATGTTTATGAATTAAAAGACATGGCATGACATTGAAAAACTAAAAAGAGGACATAACTAAGACATAGGTATCGAAGTGGAGTTTCCAACTAGATATGGACAAAATAAGAAAAATTTGGGAAGATATGTATGTATATTATAAAATATACAGTATGTTATCAGAATGTATAAAGATATTTTAAGTCAAGAAAGAAAACCATTGTACAATGCTTCATATAAAGTAAAAACAGATGGCTGGATGCAAAAATTAAAGAAATTTGCGAAGATATATTGATCAAATCTTAAGTACCTAAACTAATGTTTAGTCTCAGTCTATATAGTGATTGTTACCATAGTGAAGACACTGTATTTTTCTACACCACTTTTCATGATTTGTTTAATCATAAATGTATGTGGAATTATTTTGAGATGTATTATAACTGAATTTCATTCTATGATATTAATAATATTATTACATTTTAATTTTTATTATACATTAAAATGTGCATAGAAATGGTTGTTATGGTAATGACGTTTTGTTCTACCCACCACTGCATAAATTTCCAAACTGATTTTATATGGAAATTAAAAAATGCAATATATGAAATTATATTTGAAATTTATTATTCATTAATGTTCACCTATGATATTTAATTTTTATATATTTTAGTGATAATGATTCACTGTTGGTCTGATGAAATGAAGTAAATATTAATAAACATTTAATAAGCATTTTTCATTAAACTTAAAGTTTTCATTAAGTTTGCTAGCAATGGTTGCTATGGTGATTACCTATTTTTAACACCATTATGTACAATATCTTTTCAACAAAGACTGTGTGTTATTTTTTAAAAAAGTGAAGCCGAATAAACAATTCTAGTGATTTTTATTAGTTGCTATGGCGATAACAATCCATATTGTATTCACATTAAGATGTTATCTTTCATTTATGTTATTTTACAATATTAAATATTTACAAACATCTCTCACTTAACCTTCAATTATATCAATAAATTTCAGGTTTTCATTTTATTAATTTACAAAAAAAAAAGGATATTTTAATTAGCAACAGTTGCTATGGTGATGACCTTGCTTTCATACTACATTTAATAAGCATTTTTCATTAAACTTAAAGTTTTCATTAAGTTTGCTAGCAATGGTTGCTATGGTGATTACCTATTTTTAACACCATTATGTACAATATCTTTTCAACAAAGACCGTGTGTTATTTTTAAAAAAAGTGAAGCCGAATAAACAATTCTAGTGATTTTTATTAGTTGCTATGGCGATAACAATCCATATTGTATTCACATTAAGATGTTATCTTTCATTTATGTTATTTTACAATATTAAATATTTACAAACATCTCTCACTTAACCTTCAATTATATCAATAAATTTCAGGTTTTCATTTTATTAATTTACAAAAAAAAAGGATATTTTAATTAGCAACAGTTGCTATGGTGATGACCTTGCTTTCATACTAAATTGTGTTATCTTAAGATATTTAATGAACATTTTTTCATAAATCGTATACTAATTTATTACTAAACTTTATGTCTTCATTATATACTTATTTTATGTAAAAATAGGAAATTTAAATTTGCATAGCAACAGTTGCTATATTGATGACCTTGTATTTTATACATCAATGTGTTAACTTTGTTCAATAAGAGACGTTTATTATATTGTATTTCATGATTTTTGCTTGGTCGATGACAACTGTACAGCAATTCTGCTGGTTTTGCTTCGTGCTAAAGGTCGGAAAAAGAAAAAGAGGAGTAGGACAAGGCATAGACAAATACTGTATGTAAAAAGAGTAAAGTTGGGAATATAGGCCTATCTTATGATATTCATATTAGAAGAGGGTGCTTATTCAAACGGGGCGCTTATTCGCACGAGTACGGTATTGTTTAATAATTGTATTCACAAGGAGAGGTTCTGACTACAGTTGGAAAGATCATATTCTTTATCGATTGGTGGCGCCCCTAGTAATAGTGCGCCATCAAGAAAGGGTAGCTCTAGCCTCGATTTGAAAGTGGTGATGTCGGACAAAATTCCCAGAGATCAATGAAAAATATCAAAGATATTTTAATTTAAAACTTACATTCATTCATAGTAAATATTACAACAACAAGTAGGTAGAATAATGTCTAAGGCACCAGATACATTGTTGCTAATTTCGCCACCGACAGAATTACGATTTAGAGGTAAGTTGATAGTTTGACCTAGATAACACGATAGCATGAACCGATTTCTCTTGCGTAGGCTACCCACCCGTATGCTAGTTCTACGAAGCCTAGCTAGCTGATCGAGCAATCATCAGCTTGCGGCCTTTCCTTGTGAGGTGTGGTTTGAAATTATTAAGTAGCAGTCATGGCATAGTTTTTGTTTGTTGACCGCGTGTCTTGGTCCACAGTCAATGTAAAATAAAATGAAAAAATGTGATGCATCAAAGGGTGCAGTGGTGCACAAAACAAGGTTATTTAATAACAAAAAAAGTTTTTGGCTAGGCCCTAGGCTAGCCTAGCCTAGGCCTAGATGCCCTAGCCTATATCTATTATCCATCGAACTACCTAGGCTATGCCAGGCCTTGGTAAGGGAGGCCCTGTTCAGTGTTAGGGCACAGGTGACTAGCTAGGGTAGTTAGGCTTACTACTAATAACATGATGAATTATCCAAAGATAGGCCTAGCCTAGCATATTTTTATTTTATATTTATTTATTTATTTTTTTTTTTTTAAGTCATTAAACATTATAATATTATTATACTAGGCTAGGGTAAGTCACTTATTTTCGACCTGCTTAATTTTTGACCACCCCATTTCTGCACTCCCAGAATTATAATGATTTTTAAATTTATGTCAGTGAAAAGGATGTCGTTTTATGATGTAAAAAGTGTGAAGCACAGACTGACCCTCAAACAAAAACTGTCTGCAAAAAACAACTTTTTTTCAAATTATGAATTCATAGTTTTTTTTTATGAAATATGATATTCCAAAAGAAGACTAAGAATATGGTGTCATATTGTACATCTAAAATTAATAAATTTAGCATGGAAAAATCTATCCCATGTTTACTTTTATTCAAAAGAAAATTTAATTCTAAAACCATTGAGTTTTAAACATGGCCACAGTCACATGACTTGCCGTAGCAAATAGGAAATGAAAGAGGTTAGGTTATAGCAGTGGTTTCACCAGAAAATTGCCAACAGGGGATAGACATGTCCAACAGAGGTGTCCGAGGCAAGGGGCAGACTTTTTTTTGGCTTAGTATGGTCCAAAATGTGCTTTTAGACCACAATATTAGGGATTGGCAGTCAAAATAATGTTATTTGGATAGGCAAATTATTATTTTTTTCCAAGCCTGTCCTACAGGGTTGCATATTTTTGCGCAGAGGATCTATTCCCTGTGCAGGCCTTGCTATATAGTCTGGCACTACAAGTCTACCAAAATTAAATCTAAGTGTTGAAATACTGAAATTTTGCACAAATTGCACTACACTTTTAATTGCTTATCTGTGTCTCTGAATATACTCACTACTACTGTAATAGCGCCCCCTTATTATGGTTTTGACGACAATCATGAATTTGTAAAATTTCATTCCTGGTGTATCAAAGTCTTCTAATTAGTAAATTTGTCTTGAATAATAAGTTCAACATGATTACTATCAAATTAGTTAACACCCTTAATTTTTGAAATACAAAGGTAGATCTTGTACTAAATTTGGGTACTGGCTATGATTCAACAAAAACTGGGGCTTCTTTGTCTACACGGCTCATTTTGTGGGTAAAGCCTAGTTGCCTTAAAATCGCTACACTGTCTCTACAGTTTTTTCACTGTAATCGTTGTACTGAAATCGGAAAGGCTGTCCGCTTCGACCAACCCAATCAGCATCCCCGAAAGCTGTCAGCAATAGCGTTTACTTTACATCCCACTTCCAATAATCTCCCCAAAGCTCTCAGTTTGGCATACTGTATTGAAGGGTGAACTAGAAACTTTCACGTATACAATATTCAGCATCCTGATTTTGCATCTTATTCAAACACTATGTGTATTGATTGTCAAACACCGACATTGTTTATAATGCTGTAGCCTTGGCCTTCCGAAGTGTACTCACCCTAGGCTTCCATTATCCATGAATTAGAAGTGAAATTGCTAGAGGCTGAATGCTGATATTAGTGGAGAAATAAATCCCAGCACATAATCATTTCATCCAAGAGCAAGTTTCTTATAAAGTCTTGGCTGTGGTAGCCTGTAGCTAGGTTTTAGTCAAGGCATGAGGGCTTCCTTGGAGTATCATAAAGATCTAACTGTATTTCCAAGCTTTTCTGAATCACTGCTATCTCCAGCACCATTTCAAATGCATTGTTAATAGTATGTTTTTCCATATTTGACCATTGAGGCTTGCACAGTGAACAAATATAATTTTGAAACAGTGGCAGAGGAATAATGGCAATTTAGTCAGGTTAAACTTCTAAAATGTTTTTAGCTTTGGTAGTGATAAGTTTTGTTAAAAATAACTTTGAATTTTTTTATTTGAATTCTTGAACCTTGTTTAAATTGTATAATATTCATAATAGTGGATATTAAATACTTTATTTTCGGTTGCAGGTCCATTCACGGATGTAGTTACCTCAGAATTACACCTGAAGAACCCGACAAAGGATAAAATATGTTTCAAAATCAAAACCACAGCCCCTAGAAGATACTGTGTGAGGCCTAACAGCGGTGTACTGGGAGCTGAAGATGATATTACAGTCAGTGGTATGTGTATCAAGACAATTAGACTGAAAAGACTATTTTGTAGAATTGCTTTGATTTCTATGCAGTCTGTAAACCAAAGAACTAAAAATGGTGCACTTGTCTCATTGCTTGCTTTACGTAGGTCATACATTTTTTTTTAAACAAGATCCTTTCAGAAAATTGATCAACAGGCTGCTATTTGTTTTGGAGGAAGACAAAACTTTAACCACTGATCTACAGTCACTTCAGTCTTATAATCATAGCCAATTACATTACATACAGTAGCATAGTTTTTTTTCTTTTATACACTATATATTAGCCCACCTTCTTCAACAGAAAATTGTCAATTTTTGGGGTGGGCTTAACTGTATACCTGAGGATTCCCATTTTTAAGAAAATTACTATAATGATATAATTTTTGAAACTGATAGCATGCCATATAATTTGTTGACGTCCACTCAAAAGGCAAGTTTTTAAAACTACCTTGATAGAAATCGTTAGTTTTCTCTGTAAAAGTCAGCCAAGCTAGCTGGGGAGGCCTTGGTATGTAAAATTTGCCATAAAGTATGGGGTGGGGTTATAAACGAGGAACTATGATAAAGAAAGTAGCTCAAAAGTTCTGTGCTTCTCCATTCACCAAAAGTTTACTTTTAATAGCAATGGCTATTTGAAATGTTCACCGTAGCCAAAGACAAAGAAACAATCAAATATCACATAATAGAATTTTGAATGATCTTCCAAATGAGGTGAGACTTTTTTAATACCTTGTTTCAAAAACTTATTTTTTTAAAGATTGTCAGAGTAGGGTGGAAAAAATTGAAGTAAAATTTGTCTTTGCTAAAAAAATCAAGATGGAGAAGAATATAAAAATAAAAATGTTACTTGTGAATGTAAACAGTGTAGTAATGGGATGGTTAAATGCTTTAAATTTGTATAATTAGGGAGAAATATACATCTTATTTTTAAAGATTTCAAGACAGCAGTGGGTGTAATAATAATAGAGAAACTTTTACTTTTTCTTTAATTTCAATTTTTTTTGTGGCTGCAAGTGTGCTAATTAGCCAAAAATAAAAAGTTATTTTTATTCGAAGGGTTCACTGAAAATGTAAAAAAAAAAGTCTCGCCTAATAAAAAGCAATTAACTTTATAATCAAATAACATGTTTATGTTCTAAATTCCTATTATAACTTTAACATTGTCTTCTTTTAGACTTTGTGCGTATGCTATTTACTTCCTACTTTGATGTACAGTATTTTTTTTTTCTTTTCTTTTTCATAAATGCACAACTTGAAATTCAGTCCTTGATTAGTGAAAATACCTGCAGTATAAAAAATACATAAATTAAATACATAAAAGCAAATAAAAAATTATATTAAAGCAATTAAAATATATTTAAGCATTTAGTAAGTTTTTTTTATTTATACACAAAACTGTATTAACACTGGTATTAAAATATAGATTTAACATTTCTACATAAATTGAAACAATGGCTTTTGACTGATACCAAAGACTTTAAACAAGCAAGTTGAACTCAGGTGTTATCCAATGATTGCTGTGAGTGCAAGTCATTGATAGCTATCTCAGATAAGCTTTGAATCATTGATTGGGCAATATTACAGTTTTGTATGCAAAGGCTGTGTCTGGGATCATGGTAAACCTTTCAACATCTGCAGCAATCCATACATAAGCAGCAGACAGGGCAACTTGAGGCCTGAATGAAGCTGTAAAGTCAACTAAAAATATTAAGTGTTCCATAAATGTAGGGGCTAGAGGAAGGGTGATCACTTACAGATACTGTATTAGTTTATATCTTCATAATTTTTTACTTGGAAATTTTGGATAAGTGCATAAACTAGGTTTACTGTATGGCAGGGGTGTGTGCATAAACATGGATAGGAGGGCCAAAGTAAATTTTTTATAAACACTGTGGGCTGAACCCAAACTTTGACAGTACAACATGCACTGTTATACTGTACTGTATACCACTTTATGCTCCGTTTTAATAAATACTGATAGTATCGGGCTGTAAAAACAAGAGGTTTTCTAGCCAAAGGTGGTAGGCGGACCACACATTTAGGGTTGTCTCATGCAGCAACAAAATTGCTATCAGGACGCATTTGTTAACCTATTGTAAGAATTAAAGACATGCTCTAATGTTATTGTAGCTGTTACAATTTTTTCATCACATTTTTGATGTTTATTAAATGATGTATCAGGTGAAAAGTTTCTGTTAGAGAACCTTTCTTAAAATTGTTGCTGTAGTATCATCATGATTATAATTAATACCGTTTGTTTAAAATGTACAATTTTGTATGATTACAGTGATGCTGCAACCATTTGATTATGATCCCCAAGAGAAGAACAAGCATAAGTTTATGGTACAAGCAATGGTGGCGCCACAAGGCGAATTTGATCAAGAAGCGGTTGTAAGTACACATTTTGTTAACAGCTGACCTTTAGATACCATTTTGGCCTTTTGCCTTTGACCTAGGTCAAGCCTTTCAACATGTGTAAGGTGTGTCAGTTGTTCAATACTCTGATAGAGAACGCTAATTGTTTGCCTTGTGTGATAAAATTAAATTCAAGTTTGTCAGTCCATAACTTCAGAAGTCATCATCTATGACTGTAGACCTAATTGCTCTAGTAAGCCAAACTCCTCCAGTTAAATGAAGCAATTGCACCATTTGCAAATTATTTTATCCACATTGAAGAACATTAAAGAAAGACACGTACTGAGTATACTAGGCCTTGGTGTGATGCAATATCGATGCATTATAAGGCCTATAAGAATGGTTGGTTTCCATTGATGTGTATAGTACTATTAGAATCCTCTTTGTAGCAAGGACTGTAAGTAGAGTATGATGGACGAGACAATCTTAATATCCCCTAATCTTTTGAATTTTGTTTTGGCCTCTTTAACATGCATGTATTGTAAGCCTGTTGTGTACACTGGGCTGAAGTTAGACTTGATTCTAGCCATAAGTGAGTTCAAGGAAGGGGGTTTGCTAGCCCGGTTTCCCTCTAAATTAAAAAAATTACATACTACAGTCTGTAAATGCTACTTCCGGCCATAGACGTAAAATTTTTGTACCTCGACCTCAACCATTTGAGTCTGAATTGCAGTTGTGTGGACCCTCCATCTGTAAAATTGCCTTTCTGGGCCCTCTATATTGAATTCCTGGATCCGCTTTACTAGCAAACTAACACGCAGCTAGAAATACTGTAGTATTCAAACCCATGCTGAAGATAGCAACACCCCTGCCATCCACTCAACTTACCCAGTGTTTCCATATCAACAAAGCCTTTTCAATACTTTATAGAACCAGTGTTTCTAATGTAGTTTATAGTATTTTGCCATTACCTGCGTATTTACTATGCACTTAATATTTCTGAAAGAATGTGACTAGCCGAAATGGTAACTATCTCAGTCACCTTCCTTAATTGCAAATTTATCTCAGAGAGTTCATTATGTGTAGTGTATTTACATGATGCCAGATAGCAAGTTCAATCCTGTAATATTGCATCATAAATGTTGCTATTAAGAATGAATAGTGGTAACCCTTGTTCTATTGACAATTGACATTATGATCGGCTTGCCTAAAATTTTCAGTACTGTATATTATGTACTGTATACTGTAGCTTCATTATTAACAAAAGTTGATTTTGAGTCCTTGAAAACAAGGAAACCTACTAACACAAAAAATAATGTTTTTACTGTATATAATTTTGATTTTTAGATAATGTGATCTGGAGAGTGGGTCTTGGTTAAAAATATTATTTTTTATGTCTATAATGATAATTTTATACATCACATATTTACCTTCTGCATTAACAGTTTATTTTCTATTTGGGTTTGACGGAAATAAAATAAATTATCAAGTTCAAGCAAAAGAGATCCATCAAATACCGTAAATCCATTCAAGTACCTTGAATTTTTTGGATGGGCTTCTTTTTGAATCTACTTTTGCAAAGTAAAGAGGTGGTGGGGGGGGGGGCTTGTTTTCAAAATAAACGCTGTAAATTTTGGGAATTGCTACTATAAAACAATAAATAGAGCCACTGTGTAACATCAATCTGTAGGATGGAGTGTATTTTTCAATTTATTTTGTTTCTTTGGAATTCATGTACAGTCTTCAGTACGTACTATCTTGAAAAAAAGCCCACGCTATTTGAAAACTGTCTCTTATACACATCTAGATGTGTATAATAGACAGGTATACTAGGCCTTGGTGTGATGCAATATCGATGCATTATAAGGCCTATAAGAATGGTTGGTTTCCATTGATGTGTATAGTACTATTAGAATCCTCTTTGTAGCAAGGACTGTGAGTAGAGTATGATGGACGAGACAATCTTAATATCCCCTAATCTTTTGAATTTTGTTTTGGCCTCTTTAACATGCATGTATTGTAAGCCTGTCGTGTACACTGGGCTGAAGTTAGACTTGATTCTAGCCATAAGTGAGTTCAAGGAAGGGGGTTTGCTAGCCCGGTTTCCCTCTAAATTAAAAAAATTACATACTACAGTCTGTAAATGCTACTTCCGGCCATAGACGTAAAATTTTTGTACCTCGACCTCAACCATTTGAGTCTGAATTGCAGTTGTGTGGACCCTCCATCTGTAAAATTGCCTTTCTGGGCCCTCTATATTGAATTCCTGGATCCGCTTTACTAGCAAACTAACACGCAGCTAGAAATACTGTAGTATTCAAACCCATGCTGAAGATAGCAACACCCCTGCCATCCACTCAACTTACCCAGTGTTTCCATATCAACAAAGCCTTTTCAATACTTTATAGAACCAGTGTTTCTAATGTAGTTTATAGTATTTTACTGCTGTAAATTTTGGGAATTGCTACTATAAAACAATAAATAGAGCCACTGTGTAACATCAATCTGTAGGATGGAGTGTATTTTTCAATTTATTTGTTTCTTTGGAATTCATGTACAGTCTTCAGTACGTACTATCTTGAAAAAAAGCCCACGCTATTTGAAAAGAAGCCCTTTTGCAAACTAAAGAGGGGGCTTCAATTCTAGATGGGCTTCTTCTCAAGATTAAGCCCATTATGTTTCTACTGTACTTGAGGTTTTATGGTATTTTTGTTAATAATCATATTAGAACAATTAAGGTAACAGTAAATGCTCTTCAAATATTGATATTCCCAAAGGGATGTTCTGAAAAATTTTACTGGCAAAACTTGAGCTGTTTGAAATTGTATTGCCATTTAATTATTTTGATTTTGAATAGTTGCTGGGCCCTTAATTAAAATAATGCATTTAATTGTAGCCTTGAAGAATAATTATGCAGAAATAGACTCTTAGATTATTTTATCGGATTTACTACTCAATACTTTATTTAAACTGTTATAATTTACAATATGGAATAACATTAACAAGAAAGGCTTACTGTACTCCTAAGCATTTTTGTTCTAAACTGCAGAGTATATGTGATAATGAAGTAAAATTCATTTTTGTAATTGTTGATTAAATGAAAGTATGTTGCTAACGAAATTAGAGGTTGTTATTAATCAATACTATTTTGGAGTTACAGTAGGCTGGGATTAAGCTAGCCCCGGCATTTTATTGGTAACAACTTCAGCGGAGTAATGACTTTATATACTGTACCATGGCCCTTCAGTAGGCTCAAACCCTGTCACAACAAGGTTTTTTCTCGTTACTGAAAAAAGCTCCACTATCTATAGCTAGTTGGAAGCTCTTGACTGCTGAAGCGTATATCATATATGGCACTTAAGAAGATCTACATTACAGTAAAACTTACAAGTTACAAAGAGAGAAAAGGCTTTATGTTATGAATTTTGTTTTTCTGCAGTGGAAAGATAAGACACCAGGGTCATTGATGGAGAACAAACTAAGATGTGTTTTTGAGATGCCAGCATCTGTAGCTGCTCCAACAACTACCCCAGCAGCCCAGGTAATTTATCATTATACTTTTTCAAAAGCTAACTGTTTTCTCTCTAAGTTCCTTTAAAAAAAAACTCTGAGTATTGTGACACATGAATGTGATGTGACAGTTGGATGTAATAATTGGGGAAGGCGGTTTGGTGCAGCGTTTTCCATTCAGGATGCGAACCTCATTGTCGAGGCGTCGAACCACACACTGACCATTCTCGGCTGGCCATGCTTCTTAATCTCCTTGGTTTATTCTCAAAAAAAAGGAAAGAATTATACTCAGCCCACGAATTTCACGTCGGCAATTGCCAACCATATTGCCGAGCCAGAATTGCTTCAAAAACTGCTTGGAAAGTCAAAAACTTTTACTGAAACAGGCTATAGCAGACACTAAATTTCATGTACGCCATCAAACCAAGGAAATTGGTGGTTCATAAAACAGATTTGTTTGTACAATAACTATTTCTAATAGGCATGCAGTACATATGATTTGTGTACAATCATCTCGTCTTTCTCGCCTAGTTGTTTTGTAGGCTAGGCCTAGGTAGGAATGACGCTAGCCAGCCAAGGCCTACAACATCACACAATTGAAGCCACGTGGGCCGTGTACAGTAGATTGTAATGCTTATCTAAATCTATTATTTGTCTTCATTTTACAGTATTATCATATTTAAAATGTTGTTTATTATCCAAAAACAAAAAAAATTCAACATATTGTAAGCCTGCCTAATCCTACCGCCCGTTTAAACGCAATCACGATCGCATCGTGACTTCACTACTGGCAAGTACGGTTACATGTGTGGAAAATTCCTGATAGATCATTCTGGGCGTGCGCATAGACATGCATGGGCAGTTTTGAAGCAGCCTGTGATGCTGTGATGATACGATCGTAGCTTTTACGAAAGTTCCCATGCCCAAGATAACGATAAAACGAACACTCAAATGATTTATTCAGTGATTTTCTTATGTAAAACATGTATTATGCTCCACTTATATTAATACAAGTTCGACCATTCTCTCACCAGCAATATATTGATTTAATAGAGAAAATAACAAAATCACAATCTGTAGATGACGATGTAAGGTAGAGCCTTCGAAAAATTCATAGTTTATACTATATAGGCCTAAGCCTAGGTAATAAAAAAATTGCTGAGGCTGCCGACCACAAAGAATTTAAGGTCGGCAAATTTTTGCCGACCTAATTTTTTCCCTAATTTCATGGGCTGTATACTAGAAGACCTCCGGTTTTTTGACGTCATAGGGCAAGACTTATACCTTGTTTCATGTATCTGCTGCCTGCCAGTAATGATTGTTTCAAATACACTAAAATATTTATTTTTATTTTTACATTGACCGCTCCCTTGAAATCCTCCCAATATAAGAAATCTATATTTATGTCTATAGTCTCACTTAAAGATACAGACAAAAGGACACACACACACACAAAATGCTTAAAATTCCTAACATTTAGATTTGTCAACATTTCTATATCATGTAAAAATACACTTGAAACTCCCTAAATTTGATCTGAAAGTACAGGTAGATGTGATGTGGCTGGTTAGTACAATTGCTGGTTGCAACAGTTTTGATACCTTTGTACTACAATCCTTCCGTACATAAACATTGTTATTGTTATTGTCATAAAATGTTGGTACTGTGTATTTTTGTATTAATGAGATGTTTAGAAGGGGCAATTTGTTATTTTGTTTGTTCAAATGCCGTGGGTTTTAAACTTTCATCTCTTTTTTTTTTGTCTATGGTGAAATATGGAGGAAAAAAATCCTCAAAAATTTATTTTAAATTCAGGCTCCAAAGGAAACAAATTGTTGTTTTCTGTATCTTCTTAGTGAAATAATTAAGGTACTTTCTTCCCAGTGCCTGGGCGATAGATTAAAATTATGCATTAACAACACTTTTTCATGACCAACAAAACTACTTCTGAAGTCTCGTACATACATTAGGTAAAGTGTGGAGATTCTTGGTATTGTTACAGTGAAATAAATTAAGAAGAGACAGAAATGCTGGTTGGCATTTACAAATATTCTTTCTGGAGAACAGTTTAAAATAAAATTAACTTATGAAATTTGACCCTGCCAGGTTTGTTTCTAAAAACAAGATCCTTGATACTAAGTTGCTAATATTTTTTGATATTTTAAATTTAAACGCATCACAATTTTATTTTAAACAGCCACAAGAACGCACCAGTGCCAAATTGAGCCCGAAACCAGCACATCAGACAAGTGCTGCAAAGCCAGCAAGTGCAACCAGCAGAGATACTGATGACGTAAAGCGTCTTCAACAGGAAGTTGCCAGTTTACAGCAACAAATTTCAAAGCTTGAGAAGGAAAAGGTAAAAATTTTTATGCACACCCTTTAGTGAGGTGACATTCTAAATACCGTTAGGCAAGGCCTAAACAAAATAAATAATTGGTTTCCGTTTTCCGACCGAACTGTAAAAATGTGAGCGACCATAAACATTTTATTGAAAATTTAAAAAAAATATATATTTACTTGCAAATTTGTTCTGATTTTACGGTATTCACTCCATGTTTCGCTGTGAGTGTAATACTTTCAACTGATCTTCCCAATGATACAACGTGATCCTAGTAAATACATGGTTAAATCACTCGCACAAAATCATATTTTACTACTGCTAAAGACAAGTTGATACTATGCGATCTTAGTAGCTACACGATACACAGCAGTACAACATGGTTCTCATTGTTAATCATGCACACAAAATCATATTTTACCACTGCTGAAGACGAGCAGCTGTCAGCAGCGGTTTCAAGACACACTGGTTCAACATGGAGACTTAAATTTTTTCACCAGCGACGCTGATTGTGTTTTTAAACATACTTTATATAAAAATACTACTTTTACATACTTTAAGTATTTAAAAATACTTTGTAAGTGTACAGTAATCATATGACAGAATCAAGGGAATACTTCACAGTTAAAGACAAACTTATAATAAAGATATTTTTAGTATTGAAAATACTAGAACATCTTTATGTACTGTACGCCTGTTTCAGCTGCAACGTCATCGCAAGCCACATCGGACGACGGTTCATGGATGTAAACTCCCCCTTGAGTTTTGGGCAGCTATAAAGTCGCTGACGGTGGTGAAAACAATTAAAATTAACATGGAGAGATTGATGTGTAGTGTGTATCAGTAAGCTGGGGTACAATTACAAGCATAACCAAATAAAATATTTTTAAAAATAAAATGTTTTTACTACCTACCTTCCTGGTTAAAATTGTCGTGAAACTTGAAACCAACTATTAAATTTTATTTTGCCTAAGCTGGAGCTTTGAGATCTCTTCAGAGCTTTGGTTCTTGTTGTGGTTTGGTTTGGTTTTTGGTTCGTTTTCTTTGTGGAAGAAGGCACTATAAAAAAGCTTTACCATTGATCATTCTTGGTTCCTGGGTTGGTTCCATTGCTACTCTCCATGTCATGTTGGAAATATGTCTGTTGGACTTGTTGGTGGGTTGCCCTTCATATTTTTCAAACTGAAAATGCCTGTTCTTGTAGGTTCTTGTCTAATAGATTTAACATTTACACATTTTTTTTTTTTTTTTTTTTTTTTTGGATCTGGGTCAGATCAACCAAAAGGGATTTGTGTTGCCCCTCGGATTTGGAAGTATTTAAAGGAATTTTTTTTTTTTTTTTGTATTTTACACTCATTATTATACGCTCATTATTGAAAAAAATGTTTAATTATGCTAGAATAATAATAAAATAATAAAATGATTTAGATTGTAGAATTTTTTTTTTTTTTTTATTAGATTTGTACGTCCTGCACAAGTAAGATGAATATGTCGGTCACAATTCAGAAAAGTACCTCGTCACAATAAAATTGTATGCCTGTCATGGTAATTTTATGAAGTTTTCCTTCAGAAAATTAAAAAAAATCAAATTGAAATTTTATTCTGCTAGTACTCTGTGATGTGTGTGACTTAAAAATAAAATTGGTGGCCTGATAGCTAACAAGATTTGATGCATAAGAAATTAGTTTGAAAGCTTCATTGTGAAAACATAGATTTTAAAAGTGTCTGAATTAAACGTTTGAATTTATGGATTTTCCCATAAGATACAAAGCTAAAAATTGGTACCTAAGGTAACTTTCACAATGAGGTCACAAGTATAGAGCCTTTATTCATTTAATAAATTTTTTTGCAAGGCTCTAAGGTTGGTTGCAGAGAGAAAAGATGAAAAAGACAAATTCTAGTTGACCTGTACCAATTTCTATCAAATTAGTTGACACGGAATGACCCATCGAAGTATAGCAGATTTTTGCATTTAATAGTGCCTGGCTGACATATGCAATAGGTTGGTCATTTGAAACCAGCACCAAGTTGAGTGTTACTTTGTACATATATACTTTGTATGGTTAATTACATAGTTGGGTTATGATGCTTCAGCACATGTTCGATGGAAAGCTTTAAAGCAGTCTATTGATAATCCTAATTCTTAGCCTCTTTTTACGCTTAAAGAAAAACTGAGTTGGAAATGGATTCAACATATTGAATCCATTTTAAATAAATTTGATCTACAAATGTTCTTTAACATTGACTGTTGTACAAAATGGCTTAATGGCTTCAAAGAAAAAAATATTAAAAAAGATTTAACATAAGTTGGTATAACAATGCTTTAAGTAAATCATCCTTAAAACATTACATAAGATACAAAATTGAACCTAAAATGGAAAATTATTTATTAGAAAAGTGTAACTTTCATGTTTCAAGCTTAAAATTTAAAGCTCGTTCTAACTCTCTACCTCTTGAAAGAAGAAAGGAATCTTGGTCACCTCAAAATTTAGGCTTATGCTTATTATGTGACTGCGTGACAAAGGAAACCATAAATCATTTTGTATTTGATTGTACCAGATTAAAGGACATTAGAAATTTAATATTTGACCAACTTAAAGAGGAGTCGTACAAAAAGGATTTACATATATTTTGGGAATTCTTCACATCAAGCTCCCCTGAACTTAAATACCATCTTTTGTTTGATGATTTAGAAATCCATTACGAATATCAAATTTTAACAACAAATTGTATAAACCCTTTTAATTATACTATTGCGAGTAAAGTTTTCGAAAATCATTGTAAATTACTTTTAACGATGGCATGGAAAGAACGAAATGAAATATATAATACTTTTCTATTGCTAGACTAATATGTCTGGTTTTAATGTTATTGAATTAAATTTACAATATTTACTCTGTTCTATGTATGTATATGTATGTGTATGTGTATGTATGTGTATATGTATGTATGTGTGAATATGTGTGTGGGGGTGTATGTGTGTGTGTATATGCATGTATGTATTGTGTGTGTGTGTATGTATGTATGTATGGGTGTGTATATATATATATATATGTGTGTGTGTATATATATGTGTATATATATGTGTGTATGTGTATATGTATGTGTGTATGTGTATATGTTTGTGTGTGTATAAGTGTATGTATTAACCTACTTACTTACATTATTAGTATTAATATTTATTATTATCTCTATTACTATTTTTGTAAACCTTTTTTTATATATATTTTGTTCTACCGCAGTATTTTCTTACTATATTTTATCACAGTAATTAAGTTTTTACTGATTTTGTTATTGTTGCACATTTTTACGGTTGTGCCTCTGTTATAAAAGAGAAGCAATACAGTAAATTACTTACTTACTTAATGAGGTTTCATTCTGTTAAGATAAATTTGTATGTTTTCATGCTACATTTTTGTTGATCTATTTACTAAATGAATATCACTGTTTCGTAAAAATGTCTACATCTATCAGCAGTACAATATTTATTATGCCTAATCTATAAGCAATTGCCATACACAGGGTAAATGTAGTGAATTGCACTGTTTACCGCTGCTAATGTTATTGCCTGTCTTATTTTCTGATCAACAGTAGTGGAAAGTATCCAGGTATATTTCATGCTTGTACTATGGCAGCTGTTCTAATGCTATAACTCCAAATGTTTAAATGCTTTTTTTTTCTAGTTATTTTTATTTTTTTCTCTCCTTAGGAGGACGGTTTAAGAAGGCGTAATGTACAATCAGAGGGTCTGCGACCATCTAATCAACAGCCAGTCATCACGGAAACGAAAGTGGATTCAACGATGCCGATTCTTTATATGGTTATCGCTCTTATTGTAGGTTTGATCTGTGGTAAATTTGTCTTCTAGAATCGACCACTACACCCCACTGATAGTTAATACAATTTTAAACTAACAGCTATCTATTGCTGTACAGGGAAAGGGGAAAACTTCAGCAGTGCTAAAGAGAGCATATTTCACGCTCTATATTCTACTCATGAAATGATAAATGAATGTAGCATTTAAAAATCTTCCAACTGTCGTTTGCAAATATGTCCTACTCAAAACAGAGTTTAGTAAAGACACAAATCAGAGCACAGCTAAATTGTCGGGAAGTAATAAATAAACTATAAATAGAATATATGTATGTTTTAATGAAAGGGCTTGATGTCTTAATTTGCACGGTGGTTCCCTCTGCACATATGTTGTTACAATAAGTTTTTTTGCAAAGATGGTACCTGCTGTATTACCATGATGTTTTAAAGTTATCTATTAATGAGATATAGAAATTCCAAGATGAATTACTATTGTGTCTCTTAGAAGGAATGTTTAATTTGTATGAGGTGTACAATTTCTGTGGAAAGGATAAAAAAATAAATCTGTTTTCTTTTAAGAATGATATTCATGAATTTCCTTTAAAATCTGATAAAGACATATATAGTCAAGAAACAATAGCAAAACAAAAGGTGATTTTAGAACATAATTAATCCATCAAAATACTGTTTCACTTGATGTAAGTAAATAATTGAACAATTAAAAATGGTCATCTGTAAATAAGAAGATAGCAATCTACAAATCTAAACGATATTAATTGGATAATTCCTTATTTTACTTTTCTTTTATCAAGCAATGTGCACCAACAATTTAATTTACACTGAGAAATATTGCATGATCTCTTTAAATTTGTCTATATTATATTATTATAATAAATGTAAAATACAGTAACTATCATAATCTTCTATATTAATTGTATTACAATGACAAGATTCACTATGATCTTTTATTGGAAATGTTTTACTAGGCCTAAAATTTATCAACACTATTGTATAAACATAATCTTTTAAATGATTTTCATTGTCATACATATTTATAATTTCACAACTATATAAAGTATACTATTGTTCCTTGTCGATTAATAATGGGACTGAACTAAATTTATATATATTTATTAAGAACTTACTGTTGACTATTACAAATTCCTTTAATTTGCCCTTCTTATGATGAAGATGCCGAATAATACTGTGGTTGATTTGCTTCAAAGTTTTTGGGTTGTTTTTTTTTCCACATAGTCATCTTGGTTTCTCTAGCATGATGAGGAAAATAACTTGTGTTGATGTGCTGTAAACGTTCCAAAAAGCGCCTCTCTTAAATTCTCACCACTGCTCCAAATGTGATTATTTTTACTTAGCAGCGCTCTCATATAAGTGCTGTAATGTTTGTTAGAGATATAGTTTGAATAAACATTGCAAAAAAAAATTCCCATACACAACACATGGTATCTTCTTTAGCGCTACAATAATTTGTAATAAAAGCTGTATTGAAACCTCCTAAATTGTTAGCACCGTTGCGCTCATTGGAACTTTTATGGTAGATACTAGACCATGTAAATTGACGTTAAAATATCTGATGATATGCAAGGAAATTTGATTTCTTGATTGCTTAGAAACTTTATACATCATTAGAAGTGCAACAGTTTTTAATTTTTTTTACTTACAAATTGTATCCTGGCATCATCATACAATATATTTATAGATTTGTGAGATTATTTAAATTGCATTTTGGAGTTACTTTACCAGTAGAATCTAGAATCTGTTATGAATAACCAAGGTCACTCATTTTACAACGGTTGAGATTCTATTGCCTTTTTCATACTAATTCTCACCTCATGTTAAAGTTGTTTCTGACTTTCTAAAGCTGGGCACTTACTCTGTTGTACGACCATCGGCCAACGACTCCAACTTCTCCCCAGTGAGCGCTAGACTACGGACACTTGTCTGCTGATTGTAGTTGCCAGTCTGAATGAGTCATCATAAAAAGTTATCAGTAGCGTGCGTTGTGGCGTTGTGTTCTCCATAGAATAAGCATTGGCCGTCGGCCGCAGTGAGTGTCCAGTTATAGTTAAAAATATGTTGAGAGAAAATGAAGATAAGCATGTGATTATAATCCTTATCTGCAATGTTTCTGCAGTTCTCATAATTAGGGTGTCTCCTGTACCGGTATTGTATCATAACCTCATTATTGCCAGCAACATGTATAAAGATGGTGAATATGGCATTTTTTCGAACAAACTGAAGCTTACACGTGCTATTGTTAAGCAAGCTGTATAGATTTCATTAAAATCAGAAGTGGATATGTTTAAACCAGTGTGATATGTCAATACATTAACCAATAGGAATTGTTATTGTGAATATAACACAAAGAGATTGTACATTTGTCAAGGTATTAGTATAAATGAAGAGATACTGTAATGTTCAAGTTTACAAAACCAAATCTATGTTTGCTGTCAATGCTGTACATTGCATAGTAAAATGTTCTCTGAAGCAAGGTAAACTGTTAGATATGTCTTGAAGTGTTTTTTTGTTTGGGCACACGCTGTGCTAATGATGATTCGTCAACCCAAATCCGATACACACAACAAATTTGTTTTTAATTCTAAAAGGTGAGTCTTATTTATACCTTGTTTAGGGAACCCTTCCACAAAAAAAAAAACATTTTTTGTATATTTTTATTATGCCTTCCACTTCCCTAAAATCTTAAAAAATAATATATACTCTATATATTTCTTCATTTATTATATAAATTTAAAGCCTTTTTCAATCTTGTACTAAACTGTTCACATTCATCAATAAAAAAATTTTATTTTCTCCTCTGCCTTCGGCAAAATCATTTTGCTAAAATTTTTTTATTTTTTTTTTGCCTTTTAAAATATTAAGTTTGCTGAACAAGGTATTAAAAGTCTCCTATTAAATGGCAATTTGTATAACGCTGGTATGCACCACGAGAGTAGTACTCATGGCGATTTTTGCAATTCAGTCTGATGAGAAACTTTCAGATAAGAGTGAAGTTTTCTGTTCTTTCTTGAAACTATCAAGATTGGTGGAAAATCTCACAGTAGGTTGTAGGCTATTCTATAATTTTGCTCTGCGACATGAAAGGCTCTTTACCCTACAGGTTTCTGGCATGTTTCTCTTGAAGCAGATTTTGTGATGATCAGTGGATGTTTCATAGAGCTCCACAAGATCCAACAAGTATGCAGGAGCAATAGCATTTAATAAATCTTAGACTAATAGTGCCAGTTTGTCTTTTATTCGTTGATGAACAGGCAACCAATGCAAATTCACCTATACTGTCATTGACAATCAGTAGACATCATTGCATCATCAAGGTCTCAGAAAACAGCGATGGATTCGTTAGCCAGAGGCACCAGGATTTTCCCAATGGGGGTCCTATGTCCCCAGCGAGAGTGTTAAGTGGGCATGGTTGGGCATCGCTCAAAATCTCTCAGAAGTGGTCCTGTGGGCGGATTTCCCAGAAACGGACAATTTAGGGGTTTCAATGGCTTATTTAATCAATTTTAGAGTCTACTAACATGTAAGAAAACAAAAAGATGTAAAATATACATAGTGTTTTTTCCTGTCCCAAGCCAACGGCCATATGACCGTTGGTCAATGCAGCTATAAACCTTTGATTTAACACTGAGGGCCACACCCAAACTTTGATTTGCCATAAACCTTCGTGGACTGCTTTTATGTGACCTGCAGCCACACTCTGCCCGTCTGTGAATTTTGTATGATCCAGGCATTTACGCTACCCTGGGATTTATTATTGCTGTTTGCTTTCATACAAGATTCAAATCCATACCATAACCTGCACCCTGACTCCTAAGATTGTAACCTATTGTATCTATCATACTGTAGCACTTAAATCATGGAAAAATATACAACTGTTGTTTTAATAATAATATTTTTATTACATATATATGGTATTTGCATTGCAAATTATTGTTACAATTTAATCGAATTATATTGTAACTCATTCTTAGATCAATTAAAATAAAATTATAAAGAATCTACCAGTACAAGCCAAACCCCTTATTTAGGATACAATTTCATGTTTTTGGTTAGTGTCCACTAAATAGGGGTAATAGGGGTATCCCTATTCAGGGACACTTTTTTTTTTAACCTTGATGATGTCCTTTTAATAAGGGCTCTAGAGCAGATATACATATAAAATAATATTAATGGCTGAGGGTGATAAAGAAATAGTAATCGTAGATCTAAATGAAGAAGACATCGAATGTCAGAGATGAAAGAACCACTACAGTACTCCACATGGGTTTGCTATCTTTCTTTTCTCCGACATTCAGTGTCTTCTGATCTACGTCTACAATTACTTGTCATTAAGTACCTCAATGTTCTTTACATTATTATTATTATATCATCATCATCATCATATATTTGTTAACCACCCAATAATTCCTTGATATTTGATGATCTAATAGATGCACTTGTTTATCATACATTCACTCAGTTCCCATAATTCCTTTGCTTTATCTTCATTCTTTGCTTCATCGGATGCTTCGCATATACAGCAGTGATTCAAGTATAGTCCACCTGTCCCTTCAAGATCATTGCTAACTGCACAGAACACACTAGTTGCTGATCCTTGTTGCTGTAAAAACAACATACAAATGGTTGTCTTAAATATTTGGGCATTAATTTAAATTGTACTATATCAATGTACTATACAGCCACATTTGTATCAGTAGAATGATAAGGGAGGCCTGAAATAGCACTAAAGACAAGTGTATTATGGAGGACTGAGCTAGTATACAAATATTGACTGCTCATAAGAGGAATGGTAATATCTATGTTCATCACCGAGGGGCTATAGATTTCACCGTTTCTGGATTATAGACCAGTCAATATTTGTTTTATATACCTCATACATAGATTCTACAAAGCTTAAAAAGGTAATAAAAAGAGTACCCACAAAGTAAACCCAGGCTTACTTCCTAGCCACAAAGTAGACCTGTAGGCTTACTTCCTAGGCCTAGAGTGTCAAAAGGCCAACTTCTCTCAGTGTCCTACTAAGAAGTCACACCACCTTTCCCATAAGTTACACAGCATCATTATAAGTTGGACCTATAGATTACATCGTGATAGGAAAACTGTACTATCATGACGTAATCTAAAACGTGAAAGTACTTTTTCCCTGGGAATTCATGAACTATCATTCAACCTACGTCATAGGCGTGATGGTTGAAGTTATTACTACCTAGAATATATGTATGCGGTATATAACATCTACAGGCACATTATGGAGGTGTAAGGGCAAATATGGGAAGGATGTGATGATAGTCACCTAATGAAATCTGAATACATCGAGTGCTACACTGTTTATGTCCTCATCACATAGTCTATTTCGTGAATATTTACCTGGATAAACCGACTAATTGCCTATTCTTTCTCATACATGAGAACACCCCTCAAAAAAACAAAATGGAACAGTCGGCCCTGGCGCCAAGCACAAGCGATCCCGCAGCAATGCTTCGTCCTCATTCTTAGTCGGTTTATCCAGGTAAGTATTCACTCATAGACTACCAACATCACCACTGATTTGTGTAATTTAATAAACTGGATTTGTAATAAAAGATTATAATCACTGTTTGCTGATCAAAGGATATGGATGTAAATCTCCCTGTAGGGGCCTATCATCAGAGTTGAGTTGAGTTGAATAGTTTGGTGGTTAAGATGCAAATGCTTTGTTCAATTCCTGTCAGTGTTGCAGGATTTTTCTCACAACAAAGCAACTCTACTCCCTAAAGCTGATATTGAGATTTAGTTTGTGTAAAGCATAGTGAGTGTATGTTTGTCTTGTGAAACAGATTGTCACCTGCAAGTTGGATAGTGATGTATGTGGCAAAGACAAACCAAACCAGTCACTCATCACAAATATCTATTTTGAGTTATTAACACAGCGTTAAAGAGTAAAATAAAAGCTATAAAATGGCTTAAAAAAATCATTCAAATCTGACGATTCCTGATGAATTTCCAAGCGCTTAAACATACAGGTGTTTAAAGAACAATATATGAGAAATCAGCCTTCAAAGCTTATGATTTTGGGCATTTCTCATGCACAAACTATCATCAAATCCTTAAAAAGTGTTGTCTAAACATTGAAAATAGGGTAAATAACAGCATAGCATGATGTATAGACATAGAAATGTTTGTTTAGTGCAATAAAATAGATTTTTGAAAATTTGACATTTCAGCATGTTTTGGCCATTTTCTCTGAAACACAATTTGCGACGAGTGACTGGTTTGGCTTGTCTTTGCCACATATTCTATATTAGTTATTGACAATCCTTAGTGTATGTATTTTATAAATAAACAAAAAACAACAAACAGAATAAATAAATAAATTAATTAATTTTAATAAATAAATTGATTGATTGGTTGAATAATTAATTTTTAAAAATTGTTAAAAATGAAAATGCACCTACCAGGGACTTGGTGAATGGCCTAACTAGCGCAAACAATATTCGATATAGCCACCAGTTCTTCTGGATGCCTGTGTGAATCATGTTTCCTGGATGCAAACTATTGCTGGTTACTCCTTGGTCCCTGTAACGTCTGTTGTATTCATTAGCGAAGAGAATGTTACACAGTTTGGCCCGGCCATATGCAAGAATTGGCCAATAGTCCTCCTGGGCCATGGAAGCTGTCTTCACATTAAATTCTTTAGAACGCAATTCAATGAATCTACACACAGAAAAACAGCAAAATATTAATATATCCTAGTAAAGCTATTATTCATGTTGTAAAAATAAAATCCAAAAACAGTCTTGTCGAATTGACAATCGTCTTCACATGCTTATTGGTTATCTACAAAAAATGTTTAAGGCCTTGTTAATTGTTTGTCTCATATCTCTCCTCTTTCCAAAAAATCTACTGCAGAATGCAGTTTTTTTATGGCCTAATTTGTTTTATATTTATTATAAGGTCCACAAATAGGAATTTTTACATTGTATGTTCTGGAGCATTCTAGCATGTAAATGGTGGATATTATTATTCTTTTTGATAGTATGTAGCCATTTTAAATGGGAAAATAAATATTACAATTAATAATGCACTATTAGCACAAGTACATGTATTTAGAAACTCTGTGTTTCTGTTTTTGAATGGTTATGTACTCACCGGTGAGATTCTGAAGAAACCATGACGACTCTGGATGGTGCGGAGGTGATTAAAAGGTCGGTCAGCAGGTTGACTAGGTAAAAATGTCCAAGATGACAAACCTGAAATGTAGTTTCATAGCCATCCTCTGTCGCTGACCATGGCATTCCGAACACACCAGCATTACAGATAACAACATGCAGAGGCCTGTCAAAAGGTTAAGAACAATTATTATTGAAGTTTTAATGATGAAAAACATTTTATTTATTTACTTATTTCAACTTTATACTGGATGGCACTCTCAATGCAAAAGCATTGGTTTTCATTTTGGTCCAGATAAAAATTTATATAAAAATAAAGGTGAGAAATTTTACATATTTTTATATATTTTTCCAATCATTCAACCTCATCATGATAAAGGCAGCGGTGGCGTCAGAAATTTGCCGACAAGGGGTCCGACATGTCTGACTGAGGGGTCCAAGCCAAGGAGCCGACGAAGCCTCGGTTGACGTCCCAGAATAAAAACTCCCTTGTAGGGTTCATGGGGAGAGTTTTTTTGCTTAGTATGGTACAAAATGTGCTTTTAGACCACAATATTAGGGATTGGCAGCCAAAATAACGTTATTTGGATAGGCAAATTATTATTTCTTTTTATTTTATTATCTGACACCTGGTCGTGCATCATGGATAAAGGCTGGGTATAAAATTCTCAGGAATTTTATGTATTTTTTATCTCATTGTTAAAAAGTTGAAAATCTTTAGAGGGCTTTTGAATCGGCTTTTGTTAGATATCTAAACCAGTACATGAACATTGGTTGCCAATCTAATGTTAATCCCAGTAGTTAACATTTACATTGATAGTACAGTAAGTAGCCAAATCGAATCAATCTTTTTTTATTATATGAAATAGAGTTGAATAGCTTGGTGATTAGATGCTTGTCTTCCAATCCCAGGGTCCTAGGTTCAATTCCTGTCAGTGTTGCAGGATTTTTTTTCTCACGACCAAAACAACTCCACTTCCTAAACCTCATATTGAGATTTAGTTTATGTGAAGGATTGTGTGTACTGTATGTTTGTCTTGTGAAATAGATTGCCACCTACAATTGGACAGTGATATATTTGCTATTGAAATCCTTCATCATTTTCTCATAGTAAGTGGATATCCCTTTTCCAGCACATACATACCGGATGCTAAGACTTGAACCCATGACCCTGAGATAGGAAGGAAAGCATCTAAACCACAAAGTCACAGCACCATTCTAGTTGCACAATGGGACCTGATATTAATCCTTAAGGTTTTCCAAATTGGTCTCACCATTCTTTAAGTTTATACGATTCTGCAAACTCTTTCACACTACAGAGAGATGCCAGGTCACAGTTCATGACCTCAACTTTAGCTTCAGAACGCTCCTGTTTAATCTTTTGTATACAGGCCCTGGCAGACACCATATTCCGACATGCCATGGTCACATGTGCACCATGAAACGCTAATGATTTGGCTGTTTCATAGCCTTTAAAAAAAGAAAAAAATAATATGAAGCAAATAAAGGTGGTTTGCTAAGCACCACCAATTCAATTTCAATTTCTTCATACATACATATATTCCTACATGCATACGTATTCATATACAATAAAAAGTTTAGATTTCCCAATGAAAAATAACAGGAATGTTGTGGGTTATGACTTTAGTAAGATCAAGAATGCATGAATGAACATTGCTCACAATAACTTTTTGTAATGATTCATATTTTATTCATTATATTTTGGTTCCATATTTCTGGTACGTTGGTTGGTTTGTTTGTTTTTTTTTGTTTTTTTGCTTTATATACTCACAGATGAACTAATTGCACTGATGCAAGTACAAAAAGAGTACATTGGTAAAACTTTGTCTACACAATGTTCTAACACTGCATATTTTCTGTTAATCCAAAAATTGCCTATTGAGGGAAAAAAATAATCTTTTTGTAGAGCAACTTACACTAGCACCTCACAAGTGCCTATTGTTGCTGCTGCTGACTGCTAAAAAAAAGATATGCTTTTGATACTGCCACTTACCAATGCCAGAATTAGCTCCAGTAATGATGATATATTTTCCTGTTAAATCTCGTGCTTCCAGTACTTTCATAGCTGTGCTGTACGCATCAAAACGTTGGTTAAATGCTTTCTTATTGGGGTTATGCTCTGTGGCAAATGCAAGTCTGGGGTCTGTATATGTTGTCCTTTTTGAAACATGGCTGATAAGAACAAAGAGAAAAAAACGGACATAACTAAGAAAACATTGACATTTTATAATATTATACATCTATTATATTATATTACAAAATGGTTGTTATTGAAGTATTGGGGGGGGGGGGGTGGAAATGAGTAGGGTGTGCAGGCACAGATATTTCTCCAGACATGGACTCTCCATAATTTTAGGTTTTAACACATTTTGTTCTCAAAGCTCTACATTACATCCTCCTACTATGTCTTTTTAGCACACTCAATCCTAAATTTTATAGCAACCAATTTCTCTCTCCTCACTTTGAAACGTTTTGCTTTCTCATCGACATCCGACAATTTCAAACAGTGTATTTAAACTACTAAAAATTTACCTTTTCAACATTGTTTTTCTTAATCTCTATACATTTTTTTTTTAATCCTAAAAGAGCATTAAGGCCTGTTATATTATTTTCTATACCAAGCCATAATCAAAACTAATACTAGTAAATAAATTATAATTGAATATAAAAAATAATAGCCACACATCCATACTAAAGAATACATTGCATGACCAGGCCACTTATGAGAAATCAAATGAAGTTTGCTGCAAAGATGGCATACGGCAAGTACAATTTCAGAATTGTAATAATTCCGGTTGCCATAAAGTAGTACTTACTCTACATACATTAATCTTCCCTTTTCATCAGTCTTTTTAGCCCAGCCATATGGAAGCTCTGAAAAAAAATGTATTAAACCAAACATTTTCAATAAACTAAATTATGATAATTCTGAACTTCTACTCAGTTCCCAATATACTTTATAAAAAGGTCAATAAAAAATGAAAAATGTTTTAGATAGTAAAAGGTCAATAATTAGATGTAATAAGATGCACAAAGAAGAAATGGAATGGATATGTACTGTGAGAACTGTTGAAAAGAAAAACTTGAAATTTGAAGCAAAGAAGGAAAGCACTTCGAGGAAAAAAATGAGTAATGATGTGGTGATGATGATGATGCTGATACAGGACTAGAAATGCTCCTTTTACGCTGCACAGTAAAAGTATAGCCTTCCCATGGTCTGATCATTCTCTGAGAATTCATAAGTAGATGGCAATGGGATTATGAAGTAGGAAGTAAATTGAGAGTTACACACTCTTTATGTTATTATTCAAAATTCAAGATTTATTCATCATATACAGCATATGATTTACTCACCTCCTGTTACCTGTTTAGTTTTCCCAGTTCGTGGATGCGTCCATTGTGTGGTCTGCTTTGTATGGCTATACAATAAACAATAATAATTAATTAATAAGTAATTGTTTATATTAGCAAGTGTTATTTGTCCACGAGTCAGTGGCGTAGCTAGGGGGTCAAAGGGGGGCACGTTCCCCGGGCGCCACGTTTGAGGGGGCGCTGAAATGGGAGAATGAGAGTAAAAAAATAAACACTTTTAGAAAAACACGACAAAATTGATGTATTTCGTCAGGCATGAATAATTTAATAAGAATCCGAATGTAGCTGTTTTTAGTGGCAAATTCATAGATTGTGATTTCTTTTCAGTCCATTTTGACCGTTTTCTCTTGTTTTTATCCCATTCTGTAATGATTACATGACTAAAGCTCATCCTGCCATACCTCAATATCAATATTGCGCCCATTTTCAACAAAACAAAATATATTCTTTGTTAAGTAGAAAAATGTTTAGGCGCAACAAAGAATATATTTTGTTTTGTTGAAAACGGGCGCAATATTGATTCCTTGCCAAGAGTTCTAACCCATACCAACCGTCTTGCATTGTGTGGGACGGTCCCGCATTTCAAAGTGATTTTGGATGAAACACGCATTTTTTGCAGAAACAAGTTCTTTGGGATTCCTACCACTTAAAAAATAAGTGGCTAATAGAAGAAAGTTTTACCTAAATTTATTCGAAAAAATAGGAGGAATCAACATTGTTTGTTTGTACATTGGTAGTTGCGTGAAAATATTGTTGTTAAAGCTATTACTGTATTACAAAGCTCATTTCCATTGCCTTAAATTGCATTCTGGGTAATTGTTACGTCATGTAGTGTATCATCAGCCTGGTAAATGATTCATGCGGAGTCAAAATGCAGTTGCGATATGGTTCTTATCTTCCTAGTCCAATAATTAAAAAATAATAAGAGAACAATTTCTTGATTTTCAGTAGATACACACCATTAAAAAAATCAGTTTCACAACAACCCTTTAAAGGCTAGGCCTAGCTACTCTGTCCTGCTCCTGGATTAATTTTCTATTTGATTACTGAGGTACATGTCTATTATTAAACTGAGGGAGTACCTATTCACCCAGTAGATTCTTAGCGCTAATCAAAAACGTGATGATGAAAATTAGGTACTATACTCGTTTCCAACACAGCCCCATTTGATCATGTATGTTTATTATTACTATGTGAGAGGTTATTCCATGATTAGGGTTGGCCTATTCCAGCCACTAAGTTCACAGCATACGCCCTATAGACTATAGTATTAGAAGAAGCCGTGTCAGTGGCTCGTTGTCCCAACATGTGATCATGAATATATATTATAACATGTTTATTCCTGATCCAGACAATTTTAGTGCTAATCGTATTGCATTTATTACTATGTGAGGTTATTTTTAATATTTAAAAAAAACTACTGACTGATTTAGTGGACGGGTGAATAGGCCTAGGCCTAACTTGTTTTTTATTGTTCACACGCATGGCAACATCCGATGAGATGAGTTTAAAATTGAATAAAAATAGAAAAAATAAAGTTTCTTCACTTTTTATTTTTGTTGTAAATTTCTAATATATGTAACATGTCACATGTGATTTTCATCCATGTAGCTTTCATATTTTTGGCACAAAAACAAATATAACCTAGACAGTGTAAGATAGCCTTTTTTTGGCCTCCAGTTAGGGCGCCGCCAGCGTTTCAGCCAGATCCAATGTAAACATTGCAAGGGGTCTATACTATAGGCCTAGCTAGGCCTATATTAGATTAAATGTTGGAAGCAATATCTCAAAGATAAGCGAAAGAATATCCCTTTGTCAAACTAGGCCCTTTGGAAGGAAATCAATGATTCTTTAGACCCAGGCCGATTCTTCATTTCCCAATGGCAAAAGCGGTCTTCTTGAATAATTCCTACCACTTAAAACAGCATTCAAGCGCTCATTATCATAAAACACAGTAAGTGATCATTTTATTGCCATCTGCCTACGAATACATAGGGCCTAGGCCCTAGCCTAGATGTCTTACTTTGCATAAAAAACAAATCCATCTTTATCAGTTCGTTCTTCCCATCCAGCTGGTAAGTCATCATCACTGTCGCTGTCTATATAACTTCCTCCAGTAGCCATTTGATAACTAAAATCTGAGATTTAGGTCCACTAGAGCGACCCATGCAGAGAGAAATTTGGTAAATATTGCATAACGCCCTCTATAGTTCTTTGGGTAAAAACTTATTTTGCTAGAAAACGGTATCAATTGAATTAAATTCAATTTCATTGTTGCATACATAATTATTATTATTTTATTTAATACTTTATTGTCTATGGTTTAGCATTCGAACGCAAGACCTTCTGACTATTTGTATTCTATCTTTTTTTTCTTATTCAATGAAGTTATACTGAAATTTAGAATTGATAGTGGCTAACCACAGAAATGCATGTTGTAGGCCTAGGCCTACCCCTGGATCCGCCCCTGGGATTGTTAATTATGTTTATTTTTGATTGTTACAATATATGTTTTTGTTGTGCCGAAAGTATATCAATAAATCAAATATAAGGCATACTAGAATTTGAATTGTTAATTAATTTTGATGCAAAAACCACAAACACACGCAGACAGTCACAGCTAGAAGAAAGACTTGCAAAAGTCGGGTGAACAAATAGGCCAGGCCGAGTCAAATATCTAGGTCTAAGCATGCATTTTAGATAGCCAGGATAGCCTGGTTTTGGAGCAAAAAGAAAAAAATGCATGTTTTTTAACATTTTTAGAAATAGGCCTACACGATTTGGTAGAGTCTGTGGCATCCCTGATTTGCATATTTATTCTACTTTGCATAATATGAAGAACGACACATGTTGCACGCTGTGCATGCAAAGAGCAAGTCAAGTGGCGGTGCAGTGTTACTTGGTGCCATTGGTCGAGAAGACGGGTGATTCATATTATTAGAACTCAGTGAGAAAGTAAGTAACTCCATCTTGAAAGCAACTAGAAGTTAAAACGTCGACACAAAGTATCAGAATATTCTTCTACGTACCGTTGTTGTAAGTGATCTATACTACCAAGAGGCCTAGCTTTCTACCCACTGGCTGGAGTGTTATCGTGGGATGCGTCGCATTAGCCTAGGACTTCATCACAGGTGAGCATTGTACTTTTCTTACACGAATGAATTTAACTAAATGTTTGTGTTTTAGTAAGTTGTTATAAGTTACGAATCCAGGAGTGGCAAAAAAATGTGAAATCATTTAAGATTAGAGATTAAAATGGCTAAAAATTCGAAGCTTTTTTGAGGGGAATTTCACTGGACTCTTGATTGTTAAATTTTTCCCGGGACCTGGGGTGGATTGCTATAAGCGGTCTTTAGATTAGATGGTGTTAACGGTTAGCTGGCTGTAATAGTGACGTCACTACTGGTCTATGATTATAGACCATTGCTATATACCGCGGTCTAACCAGTCAGCCGTCTTAAATTTTAATTAAAGCCTCTCTGAGGCGGCTTAAAATGGTCTTAAATCATTTTCATCATGGTGTTCTGCTGATTAATCCAACAGTGCAATGACAAGACCTAGGCCTAGAGCGTCAAGAGAATTGAACGACGAACATTCCAACGCTTCTCAGCGTCTGTATGTTTGTTTAGGTTCATTTCGACGCACGCATGACGTTGCCCCAAATCTTATTTACCAGGGAGTGCTTGTTTGCATTTCAATACTCAAAGTGGTCTTAGGGAAGGCTGTTTTATAGCAATGGTCTTAGGAATGACTTTAGTAAGACCGTCTAATTGATAAAAGTCGAATTTTCAAGACTACCAGTTAAGACCGGTTTATAGCAATCCGCCCCAGGAGCGGATTGCTATAAGCGGTCTTTAGATGATCTTAACACTTAGACAGCTTTAATCGTGACGTCACTAGGCCTACTGGTCTATGATTATAGACCATTGCTCTACCGCGGTCTATTCAGTTAGCCATCTGAAATTTTAAAGCCTACTCATTGGAGGCTTAAAATGGACTTAAATCATTTTCATCATGGTGTTACAACTAGGTACTAGACCTAGCCCTAGATCATCAAAGACTAAGAATTGACGAATATTCTGCAAGCTTCTCAGCATCTGTAAAAATTGGTCTACGTTTATTTACATTCATTTTGATAAATATGCATGTTTTGAGCAAGCGTAACAGCGCCCTCAATTTGATGTTACCACGGAGTACTCACTTGTTTGTATTTCAATATTCAAAGTTGTCTAATCTAAGACGGTTAAATTATAGCAATGGTTTTAGCAGAGTGACTTTAGTAAGACTGTCTAAGGGATAAAGCCAGCTTTATTTGAGAGGCTACCAGCTAAGACCGTTTTATAGCAATCTGCCCTTGACTGCGCAACTGCCACTAGAAACACAAGATAGCTTTCATAGCCAAAGTAAAGCAGATAGGTCTAGTGTCATATATTTTACGCAAATCCAGACGTACTGTACGTGGTGCCCTCCTGTTTCCAATACCAAATTGCTGGCAATTTACGCTTCTCTTTTCACTAATGATGTGTGGTCATACAATTCTGTGCTTTTGTGTCTCATTTTATTCTTTTGATTTGCTTATGCCTGCTTGTTTCTATTTTATGGATGGCAACGATTTCTACCTCTGTCAAACGGGCTGCCAAAGAAGGTTATGTATTCACCATGACATAAGTTTGATATAAGTTTTTTAGATCCAGTCGTACGCGGCACACCATTGTTTGTATTCCCACCATGAATTTCGGTGATACAGGTTTTTTTTTCTGTGGAGAACTCTATCATGTGTTTCTAGTATCTTTGCTTCAAGTCCTCTCAGGAAAAGCTTGTGAGAATGCATTTCCAGGAATATACTTAATTACTCCATTATCCCTGTTATAAACATTTAAAATGTTTAAATATTCATTCAGTGATTTTTTTTTTTTGATTACTGTAATTTCTTAAATGTTTTGTCAACTTGCATCTATGCTCATCTGTAGATATAAATTATAAAATAGTAATTAATTACAATGAAAACATCCTGTGTTGTTGTTCGTTGCTCCAACTCTAAATAGTCCAGCATGTCCTTGGTGAATCTGACAAACACATTATGAGTGCTTTGTTTGCGATGTCTGTTGACTCATCTAATCAAATGTTAATAAAGTACAGTGTTTTTTTAATCTTCTTAAAAAATGCTCTTCAATATCATGTCCCATTTAAAGATGTTTTACCTATATAAGATTAATCGCCGCATTTTCTCAAAGAACGGAACGAAAATATGTATTCCAAAACATTTCAAATAGATTCTAGAACTAGAAATAAAGAAAAAATAAAAATCATTAAAAAAAGTGAAGTGCTAGACAAAAATACTATTCTGACAATATCCATAAAATGAAGATTAAAATTATTGATGCATGTTGCTAGCAATAGTCCCATTCTAGTAGTAATATATAATCATACATAAAGTTCTACTAAAATTTTTTTCAAGTGAATACAGTTTTCCGCTTTTGCTATTCTTTGGATAGGATTTTTTTGATAGGATTGGCCAGAAATTTACAAAAAAAAAAAAAAAAAAAAACCAAAACAGAATTGAAGCTGCTTAAATGCGTGGCATTTTCCAATGTATGTGTAGCACGTCTGGCCATCACTTGAAACATGGCAGTGAACAAGAATACATGTGCTGTGAATTGTCTCCATGATGAAATTCGCTCTACATATTATTTGTTTACTTAAGTTTGCTCGATATTTGGAAAGAACCCCAGATCACTGAAAAAATGAGAAGTAAAACAAACTGCTGGCCAGAAATTGCCAGTTGCTCAGTGATCTTGGGAATGCTGAGAGACCGGGCAAGCAACGCTGGTCAACAATCAATTTAACAAATCCAGGACGGACAGATGTGATCCGACAGTTCCCTCTTCATTACGTTATGAGCAAAATATATGCTGAAGTAGAATTGAAGTCAAACCAATGTTGCTTTGACTTTTTACTCCATGTATTTAGGCAGATTTTGTTTTTCTGATTTAATATGCCATCAAGGACATTTAGCTAGGCATCAGTCATCTTGCTCAGGCCCTCCAGGAATATGTAGCACAAAATTCATGGCATCAAATTGAATGTTTCCTGCTGAAATAATGTGAACTACTTAGGGCCTGTGTTGGCTGGATGTACTCGTTCTTGTCAAGTAAGTCAGTTCACACAAGCTATGGCTAGGCCACGTGTTCGGTGGTGTTGCTATGGCGCATGCTCTCATCCCTGGTGGTTACATCTTGACACATCAGCCTTAACAGACATGAGACATCATTTCCTCTGAGAGTTATGTAAAGTAAATATGTTGATATCTAACCAAATTTCATTAAAATTGGTAATCATTTTAACTTCAGTTTTTCTAAAGTAGGCATGTATAATGGTGAGCATTTGTGCTTGGGTTGGGCATACTGTAAGCTGATGAACCAATGTCAATGTATGAGTAGGATCATTGACTGCCTAATAAATAGTCATTCAGCCACAATGCTAGGAGCGAAGCAATACTGAATTTACCTACTAGAACAAGGGTCTGCTTTATGAGCTTTAATTGAGTCATCAGTAAATAATAATAGTAAAAGGTGCAAAAGATGATTATTAAGACATTTATTTATTCTTGAAAATGACCAATAAACAGCTGATAATAATCTTTGGCCACGAATAATCAATCCAGTTATATGTATTGATATAGTGATAGATTGCAATCTATCTGACTCTAAAATAACTGTTGTATCAGAAACCTAAAAATATAACTTACTTTCTCATAAATTGAAAGTTACGCAATAGGCTCAAATAATTTGTTTGTATTTGTGTGTGTGTTTGTCTAATGGTCTTTTTTCACAAAATTTGTCTATTGTTTTAATATTTATTCAGGGCATGATCGGCACAAGTGTCTAAGTGAGGATTCTTTTTGTTTATTAACCTGGCGTTCCTTGTTGAGCACTGCCTCCTTCCCTTTAATAAAATTCTGTTTTTGCCCTTTTTTGATCTTTGGGCTTTTTTTTTTGGTTTAACATCTTAATCCTATTGTTTGGTTTATTTGATGTGAAAGGAAGAAATAAATGTTTATTTTTGAATTGAATTGAATTTTAGGCTGTAATAATATAAAACAGAAACACTGTTCCTTTAAAGAATATACATTTTTCTATCTACTGCCCTCTAGAGGTATATATTTATTGCCCTGCTTTTGAATAATTC